GCAATGCTGTAATTCAGCATCATTTAATACAAAACTTTCAGAAGTTGAAAATTATTCACTGATCAATATTTATAAAGCAGTTCTGGCTGTACACTGTGGTTAGACTGACACGAGCCCAGTCTCAATATTTAACAACCTCATACATGTCGCTGCACATCTGACCCAGAGTCTAAACCGTCATCTCAATAGTTTAATAAATGAATGCTGTCCTCCTCCTGTCACCACAGTCAGGCTTTTGATGATGCATCAAGTGATATGGCTCTATCTCGTTTTAAATCTATTACACAGTGAACACTGAGTGAAGCTTGGAAATGAAATCACAATATCTATCAGAAAAATCTAAAGCCAGTTTTTCCTTGAAATGTTTCATCCTCGTGGTTATCGGCCGTTTCCACAGCGTACATTTTGATTTGTCATACAGCAGCAGAACCACAGATGTTCCTAATAACACTGACAATGTCTTGGCTGTATTTAGGGCCTCAGTGCAGCAGTGAGCATAATACTCTATTGTCAGTGCAGACATTTTTGACTTATCACAGCAGGAAAAGAACAGGTGGAAGTAATGATGACAGCCATGACAGTGAACCAGCGAACACAAAAGCAGGACCACAGCTAAGTGGAACACAGCCGTCTTTATTGCACCTGTACTTTCCTTGTAGTAATACATCAACATGTCCGCCTGAAGGAGCCCTGTATTAGTACCAAACAAAGAAGCTGCTAATTCATTCATTTTAGAGTCTAATGGTGCGTTTCTTCTGACATGACAAGTGAAAATATGTGCTGTGAAAAGTCTATAATATGACAAAGACGCAGCTAATTTGATTATTTTAGAGTTTAAAAGTGTCTTTTTTTTAATGCAAAGCGTACTAAATAAAGTAAATTAGCGACTCTGACATGTTAGGTAGGCGGCTAGACACAATATCATGAACCCACAAGCAATACAATAGTGTTTTTTTTTTTTACATACAATTACAAACAAGTGTTCACAAACTATTTAAACTGCAACCAAAGGCTGAAATGTCAAAATGAGGGAGGAAATGTCAGAGTTCTGAGTTAGCCATTTGCGTTTAGTCACTAGCTAGCTAACAAGCTAGCTAATTCCTCCAGTTAGCGGCTGCTTTAAATTCACAAAGCATCGACAAAAAGCAGCCGATATGACAGAAATGTAACTTTACCTGCCAGCTGGCGGCTTCATTTTCAGTGTTTTCCATTCCGTCACATGTGGAGCAGCTACACCTGTGCCCTGCAGCCACCGCCGGCCCGAGGATTGTGTTTCTGCCTGAGTCAGGCCCACAGGTCAGAGGTCAACTTTAATAACTTGTCACATTACGTATTTCCTGTAGAGTGATTTAGCACTCAGGTGGTTGGGGGAAACCAACAGTTTCCACACTGGTATCATGGGAAGAGATTTCTCCAGGGATACACGACCCTGGTGACCAGGATCCAGATGTTGAGATGGTATCTAATCGTGTTTGGGCTATACATTGTTTAAAGGGTAAAAATACAGATTTGGGAATTAGAAATAAGATTAGATCACATGATCTTGTCTTATTTGTGCATCAAACCTATTGTGTGTGTTCACAGCTTTTTAGTAGGATTGAGACATGTGATTTAAAAAAAATAATAATTAAATTAAAAATCAGGATTACGCTGAACCCAGCAGAAGGGGGGATTTCAGAAACAAAATGGCTGTTTTAGAATGAGTAAAATCATACAAAACTTGTGTCACATAGTATATACATATTTATATATATTAGTGCTTGATTTGTTTAACTGTTACGGTGATAAAGTTAACATTAGGCTATCTATTGAGCCTTTCAGTTAAGCACAAGAAAAAAAAAATAGAATCCCCAAAACAGTTCAAAAATGATATATTTCATTTGAACTGTTATTCATCACAGGAGCCCAATCATCAGATATGACCGTGTTGTTGTGCCTCCTCAAAGCAGAGCCTAAAAAGCTGGTCTCTCCACAAATAGAAGACTCTGAATGCTAACTGTTGAACATTTAGCATTTTATTATTTAGAACACGTGTTCAAAATATCCACTATGTATATGTGAATAATGTAAATTTGGATTAATTTGCTTTGTAGCAGGTGAGGAGTCTGACTATTGAAAATAGAAAGGGAGGTTTGTATCGTTTTATTGTGCCGTTATCTGTCTGGCCGAATAAAACATTTAAAGTGTCACTTAAAGTTTGTTAAAACCTAAAGTCTCTATCTAGCTCAGGGTGATGGAGTCCCATGTGGCTTTGAAAAACTGACGCAAAAAAAGATAACATGATCCTAGATAGCAAAACATTCTGATCCAGATTAAACTTCTTGAACATCTGGGCCCAGAGGACTATACTTCATCTTGTAGAGGTGGGAAACTCCCACCTGGTTCCTCTTGGTCCCCACTAGTTAAACTGCTTCTTCCTAAACGTGGCAGCATCATCTCATTCAGAGACAAATGGCATTCCCCGGGGCCTGAGAGGCTAAGAGGTCAATTAGGATCCATTACCATTATGGTCATGAGGTCAGCTTTGACTCTCTGAGTCAGACACTATTTGAAGAAGCAACGGCGAGATCTGTTCAACACCAGCATTTACTATAATGCTTCAGAAAACAGAAAAAAGTTTATGTTCCACGTCCTTCTAAGAGACTGAAACAGCAGCACTGTAATCTATCATATAGAACATTTTAAACATGTAGTTTGGTTTTTGGGTTTCATCTTTTATTGGATCACGTTGTCAAAGAACATGGCACAAGAACTCTTGCTCCAGCTGCACATAAATAAGACAAGAGTACCTGTCTGCTGTAGGTCATACATGGCCCCTCTGACCTGTGAGGTTGTAAGAAGTTTGCAGTTTCAGGGCCATGTGTGCATCGCTGCATGACACAGAGTGAGCCAACAAAAGTACTGATTGAAGACTCAATGATCGTGTTTCAAACTGCAAAACTGTCATAACAATACTAATAATCATCCCTGAAAGACCATATTAACAAATGTGTGAAAAAAGATATCCTCAGTATACCCGTATTCAGTTAAGTTTGTGTTACAAAGCCGCAATACATCATGCTCACAGAATGCAGTTAAAGACGCCTTGTGGAAACACAACCGCATCGGGGTTCCTGGCCTTGTATTTTGTGGCGATTTTTTATTCTCTTATTCCACTGAACAGAGCAATTTAGTCTGTTATTTTAGGATCAGATGCCGTTGCAGTCCTATAACGCTGTCATTTAAACAATTCATCCAATTTATTAGAGCTCCCACCAATGAGCGACGCTCATTTCACGTCACATGTTGCCAGGTTTTATGTTATTTACTGAGATATCTGACCAGCTGTAGGGAAGAATTATATAAAACACAGGAATTCTCCTCATTGAAGTCGGTGTCAAACTGCAACAAGCACCCTGAACGTACAGCTATTATTTTATATTAGCATACAGCTGACCCATTTAGTGGTTTAGAAGAAATTTGGCTCTTTCATGACCTCACTTTAAAAAACCCACAAGTAGTGGGAACCGTACAGGAGGTTATATCACATGTGCGGTGCTGCTGAGTGAATATATTTCTCCCTTTGGATGCATTTTTTTTTAGCACAGTCGGGACAGGAGGAACAACACTGCTGAGAATTGGGTCGAGCATTTGACTGGAGATCCAGCAAGATTGGTGATAAATGTATTTTACTGCCAGCCATCTGAGAGTAATGCAGTTTATTGTTTTATATGTTCCTACTTGGCCTCTGTGACTTCTGTAAGGTGCCTATTTTCCACCATCAAAACATTATTTTTATCCAACTAGAAGTAATTAACTTAATTTTCACACCAGTGGTCTATTTTCTCTGTTTGTATTAGCAGCACTTTAATACTGAATTTCAGCTGCCTTTTGTTTGAAGTCACTGAAGCCTGTCATTTCTGAGGTGGACTATGGTTCTTGCTTTAAAATCGCAGATTTCAGGCACTAAGGAGACGTGACCTTTAAAAGTATTTGTGATTCTCTAGCTCCCTCTGGAGGGTCAAAGTTGCACATGTGCCATTCATTCCTCCAGACTTCCTCCAGATGCAAAATGACTGCAGTATCATGTGAATTCCTTGCATGCCAGCAGCACGTTTTCAATTCAGTTCAATTCAATTCAGTTATATTTGCATAGCGCCAGTTCACAACACAAGCCATCTCAGGGCACCTTTGGTGAAAGTGGGAAGAAAAAACTCCCTCTTTAAAGGAAGAAACCTCAAAAAAAGCTGGACTCAGGGAAGGAGGACATCTGCCTCCACCAGCTGAAGTGAAGGGAGAGTGGAGAGAGAAAAAGATAGCAGACAGACAGCAAACAAGCTGACAGTAAAACCTGGCAAGCCTGTTGGGGCCATTAATCACAGATCAGAAACATGCAGCTCTGGAGCCGGAGATACCTGCAGAAAGGACAAAATGCAGACGACGGGAGAGAGGAGACAAAGTTAATGAGATGCAACGGTGGATTATTAATGCATGTAAAGTGAAAGAGAGGACAGAAGAGGAGAGGTGCTCAGTGCATCATGGGAAGTCGTCCAGCAGCCTGGGCCTTTAGCAGCATAACTAAGGGATGGTTCTGGGTCACCTGAGTCAGATTTAACGACGAGCTTCATCAAATAGGGAAGTTTGTTTAAGTCTAATCTTAAAAGTAGAGGGTGTTTGCCTTTCAAACCCACACTGGGAGCTTCTTCCACAGGACACACACCAGATAGCTCAAGGCTTTGCCTCCTATTCTACTTTTGGAAATGAACAAAAAGTAAGCCTGCAATGTAAGAGGGAAATGCTGTTGGGATAATATGGTGCTATGAGGTCTTTCAGATGCAATGGGCTTTGGTCACTAACGGCTTTGTTAAATCCTATTCTTGATTGTACACCTTTTACTAATAGTAACATTGTTGTTCTCTCCCCTTCTAAGCCACAAGTTTATATCTCGATCATTTGAGTTTTCATGCAAATGTAAATACATAATTAATAAACCCACTTATGAGAAACAAAAAAGACAAATCTGAGCCAAATCAGCGTCTTTATTTTACAAACGCATTATTCTATTGACATTTTTTATATAATAAAAAAGCAATTTACAAGCTTAAGAACCAAAATGAAGCAGCACAGAATGATTATGAGTAAAATATATAATTTGAATAAATATATTTTATTTCATGCTATAAAATAAATTCATAAATGGCAATAGATACAACATCAGCTCTAGCTAGCTTCATTTACTTCATAGTTGTACAAAACAGTAGAGTTCTGAGGTTCACAGTTGGGTTGTGAGGTTGTGTGTAGAGTGGACAAAACAGGAGCAGGGACTATTTCTGCTATCATGGTTCAGTTCATGGTCTCCGGTGCGCCTCAAGCTTCAGCTCGGTTTAAAATATGGGCTCATTGAGACCTTGAGGCAGAATGTTTGGGAACCACTGACTGAGGACTTGTTTCCCCACCTGAAGAGAAGTGCACAATTATACTATGGACATAGGTTGTATGTCCAATGAGACCACTTTTAACACTATATACCCTGAGTTCTAAGGTTTTCATGTTGTTGTTTTTTTGCCTTGTCACCAAATACATATGAGCCAGAGACAACATAGTGCAGAGTTTAGGGAGTTAAAAAAGGAAAAGGAACAATATCTAGACTGAAAACTTCCCCTCTGTTCCTGAACAACTACAACTACAGTCTCGGTGCATGAGGAGCCACGGGAGATCACTGAACCTCGACATGCCAACAGATAGCCTGCTCCCAAAACAGTGGCTATACAGCCCAAAATCCCTTTCATTATTTGACTCAGCTGGAGGTGCAACTCTGAACAGTGCCACTGAGTTTGATGACTGAACCACGCGCTCAGTTCTTGTGTTGCAGTTTACTACCACTGGATTTTCGATGAGCATTTTAGAACATCAGCAAGCAACACCACTTTTTCACTTTTATATATATTTTTTTTTAAAGAGGAAGTCAACCTGTCCAAAGTTTCAGAAAACATATAAAAAATAAAATCAATATCAAATTGTCCTGGTCCTACTTCAATTCAACAGCTCCCTGACATTCAGTTTGTTTGATATATGACAGGCCAATATTTCAATAGGCTTCATGATCCCAATACACCCCTTACACTTTTAAAAAGGTTATTGCTTTTTTTTTTTTTTAATAATACACAGTGGACAGAAACTGACAGAAATGCTATGGAAGACTTACGATTTTTTTCTAAGCCTTATCAGTGTTCGTAAACTACCTGAAGTGAGTTTATTATAAAAGGAATAGGACGAGCTGCAATTTCAAAAAGTAGTCTGACAGCCTTCCTTGTAAACACTTCCTTTTGATTACTTGTGGCCCAAAATGCATCTCCTGTTCCTCTCAGAGGAGTGAAAGTAGGAGCTGACAAAGAATTGATTTGAGTGTAAGTGTGTGTGTGTCTCAAGTTCAGTTGGTTCTGTAGGTGTGTACTATCACATAAGTAACTATAGTTCATGAAAAGCATTTAAACAATTTTCCCTCCATTCGTCTATAATGAATACATGGACTTTGTTTACTCATTTGAGGAGAAAAAAAAAACAACAAAAAAACAAAAAAACCTGACTAGTCTAAAAGCACCATTTAAGGGGAAAAGGTCCCTACCAAACTGATTGAGGCCATTATAGCTGAGTCCCTTGCAGGTAACTACAGAGATAAACTAGACTTCCCGGATGGAACTGGTACATACTTTAAACAAAAAAAAACAAAACAAAACAAAAAAAAACTGTAAGTGCACAATCAATGACACAAATACAAGAAAACTCAAGTTAAAAAATTATCCATTGGCAATTTCATACAATTTTGTGGTTGAGCAATGTGCAATTAAGCTACAGTATTTGAGGGTAAGCTTTTCTACTGCACAAGTATTCTGTTTATTATCTGCTAAAATTCCAGGCAGCTGTTTCCCTGCCAGTTGTTCCAAGAGAACAAAAAGGAAGTAGATTTGTGTTTCTCATGCATCTCCCTCCTTCACTGAAATGCCTAAACTACAGTACATTGCTTAGATTGTCCTCAATCGTGAGAGGAGGGATACAGTATAGTCTCTGAATATGGGGCAACTGCTTGCAGGGAACCAGTCTGCCTCATTTGATTGTAATCAGTTGCTACAAAATCAGTTACACCTTACAATCAGTTGCCCATCCCGTGACAAAAAACAACAAATCAAATGATTACAAGTGAAAAAAAATTAGGGGCAGGACTTGAGCTGCGAATACTACAAAATGGACAAGAATGACGTGAATTAATTTCTATTCATTCTTGGCACAACTTTACAATAAATGATGTGGCCATATTTTATTAGAATCTATTTAATTTATTTTAAAATGAAAGGAGGCACAGTGATCTAAGTGCCAGAACCTAAAATATAAAGCTTGTGGCAAGGCACTAAGTTCAAGATGCCACTTTTTGTGAAGTATTCTCTCTTTTGTTTACATTGGCTTTTAACAATTACGATACCCATTGCACAACTTTTAAATGGTCAGCTTTTGTATGGCTTAATATATGCTGTCGCTAATGACTTTGCTACCTAATGTCTTCTTAGCAAATTGTTCAAATTTTACACAAGTGATTGTTATAAGCTGGGAAACATCCATTCCTTGTAAATAGCAATAAACTAGCCCTACACTAAATTAGGAACCTATTCTTCTTAATGAGCATTCAATTACGCAATACAGTCAGAATTTACCTTTACAAATCACCCATTAGTCTTTGGTGTGGTCTCTTGGCACAAAATTATTTTAGGAGTTTGTACCCAGTATTCACAAAACATCACTGACAATATTTCAAGAGGGCATGTGTGGCCTCCTCTTTTTTTTTTTTTTTTTTCAAAATGAAGGGCAAAAATCATTATAGTGAGGTTCAAATTAGTCAGAAACTGATTTTGGTGAGGTCAGATCAGCTGACAAAACAGCACAAGTCAGCTGCTTAGAGAAATAAACTTGACTTTGTCAAAAAACATTCATCTAAAAGTACTTTACAGGCTGACAGACTGTTGGTGATGATGACTAAAAGTGTTGGTAATTAATTCGTACACAAAAGATAACGAAAAGCTAGCTATACCGATTTTTGCAAAAATTCCCCAAATTTTGGTTTGCTATCTTAACTGTCAATGAGTAAAGATGACAACTGCACATTCAGAGGAATAAAAAGGACTGCACTCTTGACGTAACATTAGACATAAGCAACAAAACGCAATATTCTCCCACCATATGCACACAAAGTAGAAAATTATATGAAAACTGTAAAAGAAATCAATTCATTGACACAAATTCAGCATGGACCAGATGGGACAAACTAAAAGCATATAGCAGGTGCTTTTCAAAAAAGGCATTAAACAGCTGGATGGCAAGTAAGAAAGCAGGATAGCACAAAAGGAACCACCCAGCTGAGGTTTAGATTTGCAAATTATGACAGTATAATCAATCAGGCCTTCTAAGTGCCCTTTTACCGTGTGGATATGGATTTTAAAATTACCATGGAAATAAATCCAAGTCTCTATAAGCTAACAACTCCCCATCCCTCACCCCATATTCAAATAGTATAGATAAAATGCAGTGTTGCCATATGCATAACTTGAAGCCAATAGTATTCATGTGATTGCAGAGTTTCATCAAAGTTCACAACAATTTTTTTTTAACTCAGAGAAAAAATCACTGCTGTGAAGCAAGTACTACTCTGATACTGCCGCTGCTGCATCAGAATTAAGACAGAAATTAGCACATTTTATCGCTGGGATAACATCCAGCCCACCCACTAACTCTGCAAAGTGCATCAATACTTTGGATCACCAGCCACCTAATAAAACATTTACCTCTTAACTGTAATCTAGCTATGTCCCATCTATGACAATGCCATAAAATAGGACTGATATATGAGGAAAACATGTTCCGAGTCTGCATTTGACCCCAAACAATGCAGAAAACAATAATCACAGATCAACTGTCCCATCAGAAAAGGTAGGACAAGACGGAAAAAAACGGAAAGAAACCAATAGCTCTTTCAAATAATGGAAGAAAAACCATGTCACAATGGCTGAGATTCCTTTGTTCTTTCTGTTTGCATATTGTTCAGACTAGTATACTATAGTGATTTATGTGAACAGATCCAGAGCTGTTCCTGCTGTGCTGAGTTGACAATGAGTACTCCTGTCTCACTTAGACACTGAGTATTGAATTGGAAGCCTACCTTAGGACAAAACAAGTACATATACAATAATTCTGTATAAATCTGCCATGAGAGTATAGAGGAATACAAATGACTTCACTGTATGGACGTAATTCACCCATTACATGGATGGCAGCATCTAAAACCATGCCTAGGCCAACAGAGTGAGATCTCCAGTAGTGATGAGGGAAAAAAATCCTGAAGTGTTTTGTTGAACAAATATTACAAGACAGCAAAATTGTATCTTGAAAAATAACAGGGCCATTCTCTTACTCTATTCTCCACAACTGCCAAAAGCACACAAGTAAGCGAGCAAATTTAATGCACTCCTAACATAGCACCTTCTTAATCATCATTTTAGCCTGGCTGACCACGAAACATTTGACAAGGACTTTGTCCCTAGTCCATACAATCAGCAAGGAATATTTCCCCTAAGTATCAAGGCTTTGTGTTGAAAGAATATTCTTTACAGGGTTTGGCAATAAGATACTGTACATATAACCTAAAACGGATTATAAACGGTGAACACATCTGTGCCTGGTAGGTTCTTGGCTATGAGGTAGAACCTGGTGAGTTTCATTTAAGTTAAAATACTGTCTGTTATGAGTATGTAGTTGCATCATGAGGTATTGAACGGATATGTCACACGAAGCTTTGCACTGGCAGAAAAATCATTCCTTGTGAGTAAGTGACCTCCTGTGGCCACATGTGCAAAAACAGGTCAGGTAAAAAGGTGATATGACAAGCATCTTATCAGAGCTTTCACATTATCAATTATTGCAACATGCCTATATAACTCTGTAAATATGTTTTAAAAAACATGGAAAGATAAAAAGAGAAATCAATAAGGGGGTCTTGATTATTGGGACCCTCTCAAAAATAGTAAGTTGTTACTCCCTTTGCTCGAAAGAATCAAATTTCTATAAAGCACCCATTTTCTTTCTGCATTTAGCATTTAACTTTCACAAAATTGACAGAAACCCTTGACACAAGAAATGTACTTAGTAGAGGGAGCTAATTCAAAAAGAAGAGAGTCCTTTAAAATGAGTTGAAATAAACATTTCTTAAAGCTTCCTTAACCTGAAGCAGGACCTAAAAATCACATCTCGATGCTTGAGCCTCCTCTGGACTGCATTTTGAACTCTCCTCCATATCATTGGCTGGTGCCTCTTCTGCATATTGTGCCTCAAAGGCCATGCCCTCAGACGTATCCTCTTGGTCCTTCTGACCTGAGCTTGCTTCCGTCCTCTCTGGAGAGTCCATGTGATTGTTGCCCTCTGATGCTCCCATGTGCTTCTTCCTCAGGTGCTGGTTAAGGGTGCCCTGAAATGGGAAGCATTTGCCACAGATCTGACAGTGGAAGGGCTTGTTGTCCGTGTGGCCACGGATGTGGTACTCCAGCTGGTCTTTCCTTGTGTACTTCTTGCCACAAAATTTACAAACAAATGGGGTGATTCCCATGTGCAGGCGCATGTGGCGGTCCAGGCTCCCTTTCTGATTGAAGGTCTTTCCACAGTAGATGCAAATGAGTCTCTCATTGTAGGGGTACCACTGGCTCCGCAGGCTACGCTCTCGCACATCATTCTCCAGCCCTGTGGGTCCCACAACTGACTCGCCATCTTCTGAGCCTGGTTTGATATGACTCAGCACCCCTGCCGGGATGGCTAGTGGGCGCTTTGCCCTGGCTCGACCACCTCTGAAGCCACTTAACATGGAGCGAGAAGGACTGGAGCTGCTAAGGTTGACAAAGCACGGGGAGGACAGCCCTGAGTAAGAATAGGTAGCAGACTGGATAACTGGACCGTAAGAACCCACACTAACAGCCAATACCTGCTCTCCATCTACCAACTCTGTGTGGTAGCCATCATCACCAGCTGAGGAGCTATCTGAGTAAGTGGGTCGGTCGGTCTTTTCTATCTTCACATGCACATCTGTTACTTGCCCATCTTTGCCAATCAGTTCCACTTGCTCCGTTTCTCCCTCTATGGGGGCATCATGCTCTGACACACTGTCACTACTGCCACGGTCCGACTGGCCTTCCTCCTGTTGCTGTCGCGCCCGGCCCAGGGCTTTTCCTGCCAGCTCTAAACGTGCTTCATGGCCTGCCTGGTTTTGCCGGGAGTAGTAAGGGGGGGAGATCTGGGTAGGGTTTATAAAGAGGTTGCTGTCATTGACTCCATTGCGGCTGGTCTGCAAGCTGTCCTTCTCTGGGCTGCAGACACTAACTGGGAGGCTGATCTTGGAATGGATGCTTTCCAGGATTTGGGTGCACTTATCAATGATTGCCTGCATTTGTAGAAAGCTGGCAGCAGTGAGGAAACTGATAATATCCTTGAGTTGCAGGGACATGTGACCTGTGTAGCAAAAAGCAAGAAGCTGCTCAAACACTTCAGGGCTTTTGATGACTGAAATGGAAAGGCCACTCATGGTGCTGAGAGCTGAGTGGTCACGAAAGTAGGGTGAACTTGCTGCCAGCACGGCCTTGTGGGCTCGAAATGGTTGGCCCTGAATGTGAACAATGATGTCACACAGCTTCCCCTGCAGCCGCAACTCATTGAGTTGGGTCAGAACAGTGTTACTGAACTCCGGCACATCAAACTCGATGTAGCTGCCGTCGTCCATTTCTTGGATATGTTTCTCCAGTTTGTCGACAGCCTGATGAGAAAAGAAAAAAAAAACAAAACACAAAAAATTAGGTTTTGGCACATTCCATTTCCCAGAGAGTACAGCATTTCACAGTTAAAACAAATATGGTATTGTACATACACTGGTCTTAAAATTAAGTGCATCAACCATTAAAACTGTGATTGTGGTTCAAATAACCCATAATAATAATAATAATAACTTTACTGCAGTATATGTTACACATTGCACCAGATGAGACTTGCGTAGGTGATGATGTAATATTACATCATCAGTTACTTTCAGCTCTGCAAGAGTTGCACTCATCCTTTGCTTCTGTCAGGATGGTGCCTGGTGAACTTTTCATTTTGTTTTCCATTTAAAATGACAAACGGAAGCAACTTCAGGGCTTCTGATAACATTTAAGGCAGAAATGTTGAGTTTACAAAAACTGGTGCATAAAGGTTACAAATGCTGAATGTGGAATGTCAGATACCTTTGCCTGAACTCTTCATATATTTTGTTTACATTCCTATGTGTGTAGGATTCTTTGCATAAATGTTTCTTAAATCATGTAAAAGATATTTCTTGACTGCTGTATAAGATGCTGATATTAGTATCAGCTTCTGCAGTCTGCCACCTGTTACAGAAATCTTCAAATTCTGTATTGCATTCACTAGCATACTCCAGTTGCAAGCCCCCCGCGAATGTATACATAATGAACAAGATGGTAGTGTAGGAACTGTGGATCTGAAACAGCAACAGCAAAGCAGTTTCACGGTACCCATAGAATGACTGTCAACAGTGGCCACAACAAAGCATTGAGATGATGGTACATACCAAACATTATACAGGGTTTCCCCCACCATAGAAAAGCTTAGGCGCAGTGCTTAAATGTTTTCGCGGAACGCCCTTACAACAAGATGACTGTCTGATGAAGAACCACGGTGCTTGAAATGTCATTTTTGGGGGAGAAGTGAACATTGGAGCCCTGCAGTGTGCTACCCACTTGTTCCATGCCTTTTCTGATAAACATACATTTAAATACATCTCAGACAGTTTATTTGGTGAAACAATCAGACTTATGACTATACAGTAAGTGTTCATTCTGTCACAAGTGTGGGCGAAAACAACACTGAAAAAGGGTTAAAATAAATTTCCTTTGATTAATTTGAATCAACTACTCCCAATCACTATCACTGAATGGACACCAGAAGGTACCTGAACTCTCACAGGATCAAACATAGAAAACACTGTTATGGAGTCTGACCATTTCAGTCTCTCAGTTCTGATGATAAAAGAACAAAAAATCTAAGCCATAACTTGTAACTCCAAACTTATTTAGTTGTATATTTGTAATTGCAAAACAGCAAACATGATTTGCTCAAACAATTATTAAGTATATCCTGTGGAAACAGTTGACTTTTACTTCATATTTAAACAAGCTAAGACTTTATCCTCTTTCAAACTGTGCTACAGATAAAGGTCATATATTCAAACAAATGACACCGAAAACTAGCATTTGTAGTCATCATAATTTACATTTTAAAAAATAGAGTGGTCACATGGAAAACTCAAGTTCGCTCCTGTATTTATCAGGAGTTCCAGATAAAGTGTCAATGATCAGAGCCTTCTTAAGGAGTGAGAGGTAGAGCTTGTCTTACTCAAAACTTAGACATCTAGGGTCTGTTGTTCTCTTTGCTATCAAACCTGCAGGTAACTCTCGCAGCTGTTGCTGTCAAAGTGCATGATTCAACAACCAGAAAAAGATTGTACAAATTTGACCTGCGTGGCAGGTGTGCCAGGAAAAAGCTTTTGCTGTCCAAAAACAACATTAGAGAAAAACTACAGTTTGTCAATTTACATATAAGCAAAGACCAGGCCTTTTGGAATAGTGTAGTCTGGACAGATGAATCAAAGTGTGCCAACTGTTACTACTGTTGCTCTGGCCAAACAACTCTATGTTTGGGCACAGTAGCAGTAGACATGTTTGGCACAGACCTAAGACAGCTTTTCATGAGAAGAACCTCATACCAACTGTGAAGCATGCTAGCGTAAACGTTTTGGTTTGGGGTTCCTCTGCTGCATCAGGGACTGGGCAGATTGCAATCATCGATTCATCTGTGTATTCTGCATCATATCAAAGAGTGCTTAAAGATAATAAAAAGCCATCTGTCTGAAAGTTGAAGCAAAGCATTGACAGAGACCGTCGGACAATTATGCAAAATACTAACAAGCAACATTTAGGAAGTGTAACCGGACTGCTGCAAACACTGCTTCTTTGGGTGGCACAACATAAACGGGATCATCAGAGAGTGAGAGAACAAAATAGACGAGGGAATCTTGAAATAAAATTAAGGATTTTAAATTTCAAGACCAGATATTTCATCCTTCATTTCACCATTTATTTCACATTTTTAATTACTATTCACTGCGAAGAGAAAATTGAGAGGAAAGCAGATGAAATGACTGCAACTAACAGAACACAATGTACCAGTGTTCTCATCATTCTAAATGTGGTGAAGTGTAACAGTCATGTGAGTGAAACCATAAAGGTATATATGCCGCATTTGGCAGAGAAAGAAGAAAATCTGGTTCTGCTTGGAAGGTGAGCATGCACCAACCGTTCTTGCAAAGTGTCTTACAAAGCCTTTCTTCGAGACTGCACGAGGAAACACACTGCCTTTGTAAATGCCTGGTCGTGATCATGTTTTTGACCCTCTCGTTCCTGATGAGCACAGCAGCCAAATGCCTCTCCCTCAATTAAGTTTTTAATGCCATTATTGGCATAGCGTTCAAGCTTTGACTAAAATACATTTTGGCAAAATGATATATCAAATTCCTCCATGCAGGGCGTTGCTACACTAGTAATGGCATAGAATCCTTACACAATAGTATACTGACTTGAGCTGGATAATAAAATATTAACAGTGTTCCTCCCTTCCCAGCAGAACTAGTTAAACCACACTTAGGAACAGTGCAACCTTAAAATCAAATTGTACCATAACTAACGTGTAATTCTATATTTACAAAAGCAAATACTTTCAAAGTAAACCTTAATTTGTGTCAGTTCTCCAGCTTAACCCTCCTCTCCCCTCACTCCATCTGCCCTTCTCCCATCTCTCCCTCTGCACCTCCTCCTCCTCCTCCCCTCCTGGCCCTCGCTGGCAATTCAGCATGATCATCTGCGCATCGAGTCCCTGTCAGCACTTTGGGAACGTAAACACTTTCTCCAGTTGCCAAAGCTTGCCAAGACACCTGTCCAACAAACCGTATGCTCTCATCCTGGCTTAGGAGAGGGAAAGTTGTAGGAAAACAGAGAATCACAAAGAGGTGTGCAGTTATTTCACTCCCTCCATAACTAGCCTTAAAACACAACATGTTCATACACTAAAACACACCAGTAATGGCTGCCAACTGCATGCGTACAACATGGAGCCAAGTGGAAGGGCAGCCAAAGAATGCATGCTCAGTAGTTGAGATGCACATGCTGAGTGAGGGTCACGTGCTTGGCTCACATGGGAAAGCCAAAAATGTTTAAACTCAGCTCAAAAATTCCATCTGTGGCTCAAGTTCCTTGTCTGGTAAAAAAAAAAAAAAAAACTATCTAATACAGCTGCTTCATGCAGGTAGGTAAAAAGGATGCTGAGTAGAACATTGTGATGGTTTGGCTGAGCAAGAGATCAGCATAACTGTAGAGGAAAGTCGTCACCTCAAGCTTGGATTTTTAAACTTTGTCATTTCAATGGGGAAGAAAACATTAAAAAAAAAAATCAAAGTCAGCAGGCAAGCGTTGTATGCTTTCTTCAACATCAGCAGCATTCACCTACTTTGAAAAACAGCTTGTGGGGTGGACCAGACGCAGGACAGAACTGCTTAACAAGCAAAGGTTGGGACAGCAATTTAAAACAGATAGTAAAGAAATACATAAAAATAGACTAGATTGCGATGCACCTCGGGGACGGTAAGATGTGAACAACTTTGCTAGAATGAAAATAACTCGCATTCTGAAAAATGTTAAGGCTTAGTGAGAGATCAGTATGCAGAGCTAATATATTGCATGCTTAGCCTTTGGGTGTGTTTTCTCATTTGATTTGTTAGGAGTACATAACTGGAAGTCAAGAAAATGCTCATCTTTCATTCCAGCCTCCTCACATGCTTATCAGATGAACACAAGAGGAAGCCTCAAATGACTCCAGTCCACCCTCATTATCTTAACAACATATCATCTATAAACCTAATCATAAAAACGACATAAAACACATAGACATCTAAATATAAACACACTAAATAGAAATAATTTACTAATAGTGATACCACACTGTACATATCACAAGACGATGAAGTAAGTGTGCCAAGTTCTTGTTACTGACATTGCGTCGCTCAAGGCTAGGACTCCGAAAAACAACAAGATAGCTGCGTTTTGGAATTTAGATAGAAAAATGGATAAGGAATGCATTCACGAGAAGAACCAAATATTATTGTTCCCTATTCATAGCATGCATTCACTACACTCAGAAGCTGATAGAATTCAGATTAAGGTAACTAGATAAAGGGAACCTAGCTCACTGCCTATAACAATACTCTGACTGTCCTCCACAACTGTCTTGTATTCTGTCAACTGTCAACCCTGACAAATTTTCCACATTTTGTTGGCAGTGTGAACGGCGCTTTTAATGACCAGCACTAATTAGCTGGGATACCATCCTACTACATTGTCTTTTTACCTAGAGCCACACTGCAGTGATTACACTGTTGCAATTACAGTTAGCAGTGACGCAGTTGACGCAATGTCTCTAAAGCAGGTTTTATTATCACCAAATGGTCAGGTTTTGCTTAAGGTGTAAAAGAATTCAAGCAAGGCTGCTACCATTTGCTGGTAAATTCCCAGTATAGAATCAGTATACTGTATTCTACATTTCCGAGTATGACAGAAATGATTTACAGAAATGCGTGACTGCATTATGACCCAAATCATGAGGTTTACTTATTACTTTCTGATTTAGAAAACAATAAATGTAGTAGCACCTATGTTAAAAAATTAAGTGGTAAATGTCACTAAATGAGCTGAAAACAAAATTTGCTGGAAAAAAAAAAGTTGCGAAAACGTATGGGGAAAAAAATCTTTGGAAATTTGCATGACATTGCACAGTGACTGCTACTGACAAACAAGCACCGCACTCACACCCCAACAATTTTCTAAATGACCAGGTTACTACTATAGACTTCACAAGATTCCTGTTTTTGCCGCATCTTAATTTACACACCTAACTTCTAACCTTACATGCCTTGTATTGCACAATCATAATTTCAGCTGGTGGTTCAAACCAATACACTTTTACTGCTTATCCCATATAGAAACGGGACCATAAACCAGGAAGGTTGGGTGGGAGCGAAACCATAATGCCAACTCATGCAAAAGTCGTAACTTGTTTGGCTCCACTCTGTTCTGGCATGCCTTTCAGTTGAAATATTAAGTTTGGTGTCAGATACAATTGCTGTTAGCTTCCAGCTGAGGTTTTAATGTATCCCAACGCCAAATTTCAGAGGTAATTAATGTCACAGAAATAGTAAACACAGTCCCTGGTGACCAAGCTGAACCCAGGTGTACTGGATATACCATGCCATAACCCTGCACTTTGTCCTTTCCTGTCATAACATCACGTACGATTAGTTTACAGGAACTAATTGTTGTAAAGGGCACTAGTACAGTGTTATCTTTTAATTTTCCAGCACAACACATGCTATAAAAAAAACAAGTGTAGGTGCACATTTCTGACACATGTAACATATGCGGGCCTGATGCCACCTCATACACGAATAGTGGAGTTAAAATACGGCGTACAATCACATCACATTTAATGCGTTCACTTATTAAGAGTCACATTTACCCATGCTAGCTTAGTCGTGCGTGTACACTGGGGCATGTTAGCATGTACAAGTTGCTTCCATCGTACATGCATACAATGCCGATACACCGTGGAGCAAATGTGCGGCGTCTCAAACTTTAATGCAAACCATTCTGTAGTTATTGATGAAGGGTCTGCCCAGCGGAGCCGCTAAAGCTAGCGCTGGCTTGACTTTCACGCCCGCCTGTCTTTTTCTTGTTGTCCCCACCATCTCTCACTTCGAAGGCAACTTGTAGTTAGATTAATGTTAGTTTTAAAAAAAATGCATCGACTCACAGGGCCGAGCCACCCAACTATGAAGCAGCACACAGGCAGAGGCTAACTAGCCACATTAGCTAGCCGAGAAACGAGCTTTTATTACAGAAAAAAATGCGTAACTTTCAAAGATACTTCACTCTTGTATTTGCTGCCAGTTTGCCCACGTTTTTCCTGACTGTAAAAACGCTTGTCAAGCTTCTGCAGTTAAACAACCAAGTTACAACGTCGACGGCGGGTCCAAACTATGTCGGCTGTCATATAAAATAGCCAGTATGCTAGTTAGCTTGTGCTAACAGCGAGCGCTAGCTTTTGCCACTATCATTCAGGGCTAAACAGCGAGCAGTGCTGAGTGGAGGCTAAAGCTAGCTAGCAGTTAGGTGCTAGCGTACGGTCGCAGGTAATTATTTGTCCATTACTTACAGTGTGAAAGCTCAGACGCGCCGACATTACAAACGTATTACGGTCACCAGTCCATGCCAAAGCTGAAGTCCACCAAACTCACCGTCTTGCAGGTTAGCATTAAACGTTGTCCATTCCCCTCAGTAGTTCGCTAACACTACAGCCAGGCCTCCCCCCCTCTCCAATCCAGATGTGTCAGACAGTTGCTGCTGCAATTTTTGCATCAACAGGAAGTGTTCTTTAGGCTCTTTGCATTCATTCTATCAGTGTGTTTTGCAGCAGCCCCTCCCTTGCTCATGTCAGTGTTGTATACTGAGACATCATGTTCTTAATATACGACGTGACGGAGGACATTTACACGCGCACAATTAAATATAAAGTAGATTGCAAGCGGTGTCCAGATTTTTTTTTTCCTCCAACAAATAGCGTGGCTGTAAACACTCTCTTATCTGACTACACCCATGTCCCGGTAGTATATACAGTTTGAGCTGCTTTCACTTTACAGCAGTGACAGTTTGCACTAAATGTAAATGTTTTACCCACTATAACACTTGATTTAAATGTGACATTACAGCCTACTTGATCTTTCCAGCTGTGCAGACCTCCCCTCCCTCCTCCAACATTACACACACACACACGCACGCACGCACACGCACAAACTAATATTTAACCGCTGCACCCTTCAGCCTGTTTAACCCAGAAACAAGGAGTTATCACCAAAACAGCTGCATTATTGCACTTATTGAGAAAGTTCACACGAGTTGCGTTCAAAGACAAGTTTTAAAGCTATTGGTTAAGTGGGAACTCCTGAAAATGTTTTTCTAAATTTCACTTTAGTTTTTTTTTTCAGTCATTTGTGTGTGTTTAAGGTGTTCGATAGGAATTGCATAATCTATTGTTTTGAACTCGAAATGAACTGAGTCACTTCCACGTTGGCACCACAAGGGGGCGCCAGAGACTAAAGTGATGAAACTTTCCATCCCAGTCCTCTCTTTCATTAGAGCAACTCTCAAAAGGGTGGAGGTGGATCAGCGTTGCAAGGAAAATATCTTACTCAGACAATCGAATGGCAAACAATGAATTGGATCAAAAATTCTAAAACTAAATATAAGACGTGAAGTCATTATTATTATTATTATTTCTATATTTTACCACAATGAATGCTTGTTTGTGTGGATTTGAGGTGTCTGGTCTCATTAATTCTGCATAATAATTGTATGCACATGATAGAACTGTTGGAAAAAACTGCAGGATTTTATGAGGAATTCTTTTGTACTTTCTCAAGACAGTGGGAAAAATATTGCTGATCAAAATTCTTGCATGGATAAATAACACTGCTAATAATAAAAATTCAATATAAAATGCTGTCATTAATGTAGAAAACAGAGAAAACATGAATTACATAGTTTTATAATATCTAACAAAGAAGTTTATTTTCTGTAGTAATTTTTTTTTTAATGTTTCACCAATGGTGCTAAAGATGTTATTTAAAACATGCAACTCTAGGTATTTTTAAGAACTTTGTACACACAAAAGCTGCACCTATGTGTTTCATAATCATCTGTAAATAGAAGATTGAATTGTCTCTTGTGAGCCCATCCAAGGTAACAGTTTTTGAATGCTTTTATCCAAATTTTCTGTTCTATTGTATCAGCTGCTTGCAAACAGTGTATATATTTGCAGTGTTTGATTCGAGCGATAATTTCAGGGTGTCTGTTTTTCTGTTGCTAAAAGAGACAAGTATACTTCTGTTCTCCATCTGCTCTTAGGAGGACTTTATCTGTGCTGCTTGTAGTGGAGAGGAATGAATGTGCGCTGTGTGTGTTTCCCTCTCTCTCTTTTTTTTTTTTTATCGAGTGTGAATGACAGGTTGGCAGCTCAGGTGAATATCTGACCTAATCTGTGTGCAGGTGGGTGATCAACGCAGAGAAAGGAATCGCTTTGTCATTGCACGTGCTTCTTGTTAAACAAGTCACTCCTCTATTCTCAACCGTGATTTGCCTTTTTTTTTTTCCCCTTCTCTCTTTTTTTTCAGGAGATTGATGCACAACTGAAGGTGCAGCCAAGGTATGGTGATTAGAGATGGTTTTGTTGATCCGCAGGAATGATCATGGTATTGATAACATTTCAAACAAACTCATAATCAAAGGGTTTCCTGTTGAAGTTGTAATCTTTTCTGAAATGGGGCTTTGTTAGCTCAGTGTCATTTGGTTGACCAGGAATTATTTGGCGGTAAGCTAATGGGGCTGGTTTTGAGTGGTGCAGCGCCAGGGATCGTATAGGGGCTCCAGGTGGTGTGGCCTCGGGCTCTGATGTGCTGCCCCTTTTTAATCCCAGATGACATTGCAAAATCCCCAAACCCCCTGCCCCTGTATAAGACTGTATAGGAGCAGAGACCAGATGATTTGTTTAAAGAGCACATATCATGTATCAAACTGAGGGAATAAGGAGCTCCACTGTTTTATGTTAAGCCTGAGACCATAGGTTATGTTTAATATGAAAGATAGGTATTTATATTCTTTGTCTGAGAAGGAAATTTGCGTGATTCTGATGGTATACTCTCATAAGTTTAACAAAACTTATTAATATTTCCAATTTATCAGTTTATGCTTTTGTTCCAATTTTTAAAATAAAATAAAATGAGCTTTTACGATGGAATATATATGATGTTTGCATTTCAGTATTAAAAGCTATAATTCTGCTGCAGTCAACAAGCATCACTCTAACCACAGTCTCTTTAGTTAATGTTCAATAAGTAGCCCAATTTTTAAGCTTAACTTGAATAACACATTGTTTTCTATGTGTGCCAAGAGTCCCAGAATACCTTGGCTGTCAGTGCTGGGGAGAACAATGGTCTCCCAGTGCTCCTGTCCAGAAATAGTCTATAGCTCACTGATGGAGAACATATTTCCCAATAGCAGGTGTCTGAGTCAGTCAGTGCTTGATCCTCACCATGACTGTAAATGAAAGGGCCAGCTCGTCCAGGTGCGGGAGCACCTCTTTGGCCCTCTCAGGTTTCTCCTTGGTGGAGGAGCTTTTTGTGGAAGAACGAACAAGAGAAATATTGACATTAAACAATGTGTATTGCTATTAAAAAGTATACGAACAATCTTCTTTAGAATCTGTAATATTCCACGTAGGGGCAATTTATTCTCTGCGACTAATTCTAGTTGTACTGTGTGTAAATCATCGACAGCCTTTAATTAACATAAATGCTTGTGTTTTATAACAGGTCAGATGTATGAAAAATACACAACCTTAGTTTAATTCTCGAAATGGACAACAGAAGGAACAATATGCATCGGAATCCTCCTGAGCTTTCAGCAGTTCAGTATTAAGGCAAGCATAGTATAAGCTCATGAAATATTTATATACCACAATGACAGTCACTTTGACATATCTTTATTTCATTTTAAAAATCAGCTGGACTCCAACAAAAGCCATTCGAGACAAAACCTGAAACGCTAAAAGACTTTTACCAGTAAGTACAATAATTACTTGCATTGCAAGGATAATGAGCTCTCAGATGTGTCATATATTTGCCTGAGAAATTAAGCCAATTTGTGAAAATGGTGGCCTGGGGTTGAGGGAATACAGAGTGGCTTGTAAAGATGAGTGATATCTGGCACAGCATGAAGAGAATGAGAGGTGTGCTGCCCGGTGCTTAGCTCAAATGAAAGCTCTGATTAGTGGAGCAAAGATCAAAATGACAGAGTGGCGGAGGCTTCAGCTGGGCCTTTGTTATTGATAAGTCTGTCATCTCTGCTGATATTGGAGCAGTAATGGCAGCTGATGATTAGGCCACTCCTGAGCTATTAACTACATTTCTTATCCTTTTACTGGGGCCCAAGAGAGCCTGTTTGGGAGACAAAGGCGTCCTTTATGAAGCTGGCTTCTTAAACGGCATCCACCTGACCTAAAAGGCACAACTGTTACGTCTTTCTGCCAGGCCAAAGAAGTCAGGGACGAGATACATGTCAGAGGTCGCAGTGTGCTGCTGTTTGAAATGAAGGGGTTCTGAGTGAGTAAGCTGCTGAAAGAGGGCTGCAGCAAAATTACAGAAAATTGGCTGTTTTGTCAACATTTCATCAGAAGATTTACAGAAAGCTGACCCCGACCCTTTCTCTCCCCCTCTTTCACGAGGCTAAGGAGATTGAGTGGGTCGGAATTGACTGACAAACAAATCTCTTCTTTATTTCTTTCTCGCTTTCTCTTTCCCTCTCTAGAAGTGATATTCAATATGATCTCTTTTTAATGATCCTAAGTGGCTGAAATTACATATCCTCAACACATATTGTTGAGGTTGTTTTAGTCTGATTCCAGGGGACACTAAGGGCATAAAAAGTAATTATCAAAATGTTTCAATTCTCCAATGAAAAGAATAATATGCCATTCATTTTGTATTATTATACCACGGTGCACATAGATCCAGTACATTCATTTTAATATTTCTGTTTGTATAATGGTACACTATGACAGTGTCAGGTGATCATCATGTGTGGCCTGGGAATCATAAGAAGAGTAATATATTTAAGTTGGCTTGCAAGTGTGCAGTGGATCAGTAATTCCCAACTAGAGGTACTTGTACTCCAGAGAGTACTTTTGCAGGTGCAATAGAGTACACAGGGAGTTTTTTGAGGAAGTTTAATACATTTTGAGGGGAAAAAAGACCCCTAAAAAAGTTAGGATTTGAATACAAAAAATCTATTGGCTTCAAGCAAACAAGGAAGGAAAGAGTTGTAAGTGGCTGAACAACTAAAAGCGATGGGTAAAAATAAAATAATGAAGAAAAACTATCTAAAAGTTTGGTATAAAAGACCTAATGTCTGATTGCTTGAAATATGAAGCTACAACTATGAGGAAACAGAGTCGTTTTAGTGTAAAAGTAACGGATAAATGGTAACTAAATTGATAACTAATCACAGGCTAATTGATAGGTGGTTAAAGCAGTTAGCTAAAAGTAGTGAATATAAAGTTAAATTACCTGAAGTTGCTTAATAGATGAATAGTTAAAATACTTATAAAATTGTGATTTGAGTCAGCTGTAATGATGTGGAAATTAGGAAGCAATGATGTTCTAAAGACAGCTGAAAGTAATAGATAAAAGGTTAAAGAGACACCTTAACACAATGAATATTTTTAAAAATCAGTAAATATAGGCTAATTGATGAGTGGTTAA